TTCCTTAAGACGTCATGTGCACGTCACCTGTTGTGAGACACTCATTGATATGATGCATGTAGTATCGCCTAAGATACCCGAAGCAAATATATCTCCATCGAATAACCATTTCTTGTTTGTTTCATTTTTAACCAGCATCAAACATGGGTGCATACTTACTTTTGCCCGGCAGTTTACACAAGTTACAATTACTTCCCAATCGTTCGATCACTGAGATGATTGGAACATGGTGGTCGCAATTACAAATTGTGTGTGTGTGTAAATGTTGGTCTGTTGGATATTACATAAAACATTCATCTTGAGCGGGATGGTAGTTCGAGTTGGATAAGCATGTTAACTATGATTTTCTTAAGGTAGAGAATGCCGCGCATGAATGTATTAATGTGATTCCCAAGTACATGTACATGGGGGCTTTTCGGCAGGGATCTCCACACAGAGGAGACTTAAATTGGGATCGGGTGAACATAATGTGGTACCTGGTAGATTGTGTGTCATCAAACCGGACAACTTTGGTCTTTGACTGATTGTGGCGTAAAACACACTTATTCATTTACTTGTATCGGAAACTGAATGTTCATCTTAATTGTTATTGATGAACACGTAATATATTTTTAAAAAAGTAAAACAGTGACATAATAACTACAACTTTATGTACGAATAGCTCTATTGGAGATGGCCATGGAGATGAACAAGTGTTATAAAGTTGTAAGCTTCTTCACAACCGTGTAATCATGAATTGACTTTATTGGGTAATCCAAAAAGACACATCGACCTAAAATAGCCAAATATCATACGATTTCACCGGTTCACCATCTTGGATGCAAGGCGAAAACATTTCAGCGCGTTTGAAGCTACTGAGAATGCCCCCTCAGAGTTGGACGAACATTCTGTAGTAGCGCGGCGGTGTTGACCAGAGGTTATCAGCAGTATTTCCTGTCAAGGTTATTTAGGTCCGTTGTGTGTGTGTGTGTGCGTGCGTGCGTGCGTGCGTGCGTGTGTGTATGTGTGTGTGAGGGGGTGGGGTGTGTGTGTGTGTGTGGGGGGGGGGGGGGGGGGGTAATTAATTGTTATGGATAGTCACGGAGCCGTGATCCAGAGAACAAGGTGTCATTAGATAAAAATGAAGTAATAATAGGATTACCAGAAAAACGGGTTATAACACCCAACCCAATAAGTTTCGCCCAGGAACACCAGAGTAAGTCAGTACAAGATTGAAAACTGCCCAGTAAGTAAGTATGACTGGCTAGTCGGGTATTGCTACTTGTATATGTGAAAACAACGTTATTAAAATGAATAGCAAAACTGATGAAAGTCACCAATAAACGTGTATGAGCGTTATGTCGTCACTGCAAAAATAATGAGTGTTTGTCTTAAGTATTAACATTCAAATACGTTATATCTCTATTCGCGATATTTTCTACGTTCTACCGGTGAGTAAGCGTTAGGCTTACTATCTCGTAGTATAAATGTCCAGTTTGGAATTTGAAACTAATCTGTTTACAGTAACAGGACACTGCTTAAGTGTCATGTACAAATGAGAAAGAGGAATCCCGTCAATTAGGCGGACGAACCTTAAAACTATTAATAAGCAATATCGGAAAAATGTATATGCATATAATATCTGGCAATATACATCAAGATCACCTTCTACAAAAATAGGTTTTAAAAGCCGGTTGATATTCGTTTGCGTATTTGACGATTATATAACTTTCGAAAGTATAAATCCTTTTCCTATACTCAGACGTTCCTGAGCCTTGCGCCTTCCTAATTATTTTGACTAAAATCATTACCGTTATCATTGTATTAGTTAAAGGGAAATGCGTACCGATCAAGTACGCGCCATAAATTAAAGCGACATTGTACGATTCCGAACTTATCACGAGGCTGTTTATGAATCATTGTCAAAAAGTGGTGACATAGTGGAAACAATACGCGAAATCGCGCATGCACAGAACAGAAAATTTGGACAAGGCATTAAGCAATCCGCATGCGCAGAACGACTGATTTCAGTGCTTCAGCTAAGCGCTTCGAGTACAGCGTCAAACTCGGGGCTGTAATCTAACATGCGAGAACTGACAAATGAAATCTGAGAAGTAGGAATACCGGTAGACGCTGTTGCTTGATTGCCAATGTCAATCAAGAAAGGGAGGAGCTTGATGATATCGTTCTCTCCCAGTAAATTCCGATGTCAAAAGACGACGTTATTTGGACGGAAAAACGATGGTTTGAAAGCGTCCAAATAACGTCGTTTTCCCGTCCTATGACCATATTCGGAAAAAAACGACGTTTTCGTGTTTGCAGTGTCATGCTAGTTCGTTATTAGCCTAACAACTGCGTTTTTCCAACAGAGGTTAGAATGTCACCTGCTGTGATCAGCACAACGTGTATTTGTTGAAGGACATTCAGCCCCTGTAAGCCCAGATCTTTGTTTACCGAATAAACACATTGGCCGATGTTTTGTCACATAACTAATCACGATATTGAATATTGGAGATATTCGAGGAAATGTCCTGGCTACTCTCCATGGTTTTGTTATGGTTTTACAAATATGTATATGCTGCCCTATCTTGATGTATATTTAATAATGCGCATTGAAACACTAGATGTATAAATGATAAAACAAATTTTTAGGACATGCTTTCACTGTCGCTGATGGATTACAAATGATCCCTGGTCATAACACATTTGTTGCTTCTATATGTGTATGCACGCACGCCACACACACAAAGAACTTGTAAACTTACTTGAATATTAACATGAATGTTACTGAACAGTTAGTGAGAGTTTATACATATCCGCTTAATAAGAAATGTTGAAGCTATTCACGTATATTACAAAATTAATGAAAAATGAGTTTACTTTCATTTTACTTGTCAGAGAGGTAAACAAAGTTCGTGATCTAGACTACCAGTTGTCGAACTTTCATTTTCTGGACCTCTCGGTGGCTGAGTGAGTAATATCGCTGACTGGCGATTAGGTGCTCACTCTAGAGGTATGGGTTCGAATCCCGGACTTTGGGAATCTTCGAATTGGTGAACGGTGTCAATGCACATAAATTGGAGCAACATTTGTATAATTATACGTTCTTTATATAAAAAAAACAATATTAAATATGGAACTTGTGTGAAAGTAATAATGTGGAGGTTAACTGTTCCAGGTGTAGCTGTTGTGATATTGTTAGCTTCTGTCATTGTCTTCAGGAATAACATCAAAACGTATGCAGGCGCATATGTATGGACATGTGAGTAGTGTTTCTGAACTCGTACTGACAGCTGTACATGTAGTCATCTGTAAGCTTTGGTCCTTTAAACATCAATAATCGTTATTCAATAAAAATGATTCCGTAAATCAACTTGTACACATATATGTGTACATTAATTTCCTTTTTTAGCAATTCGTTTTCAACAATTCAGTTATTTCTTTTATATTCGGGCGAAAAAGGACTTTGTTTTACTATGACCTTATTGCTACTATTTACACCAGACATGAAATCGCGATCGACTCTAGGTTGTTTTTGGTTTCAGACAAAACAACACATGTCAACGAATGTACACATCTTGCAGATCTACAAGAGGAAAGAAAATCAGGTACCACGTGACAGTCCTGTCCAAAGGCAGATACTCTTGCATGCATATGCACACACACGCACGCATAATGTATATATAACCAATATGATATATTCTAGTTAACTTAATTTGTATTGGAAGGTTTGATATTATCAAATTAACCTGATTGTTTTCCAGTTCCCCTTGGGAATGTCAGCTTCTCTGTGTTGCTGAGAGGTGTTTCCAGCATTATAAAAGGTACGGTTAAAGGGGGTGTACACGCAAAAATTACTTTCTTTCTTTTTCTAAACAAAACGCAATTTTAGAATTAGTTAGTATCTGTGTTTGAAAATATACACTCATTTTTTTCACAGTGAAAGTAGGAAACTCACAATAGTGTGAAAATGATATGCCGTTATGAGGCCTTCGTTTTTCGAGCTAAACAGGCCTGAGTTATCTCCCTTAGATTATGACGTAATTGGTGCCAATTCAACTGGGTCCCTGTCTATTCTGAACGCAAAAGATATCAAGTACAAGTTTTCGGTAAAACAACATGGCCTACGACACACTCCGGCGCAGTGGTGACTCAGCATAACACTATGTTGGCTGGCATCTGAGACGCTAGAATCACACACCTGTACCTACACCACGTGAATCGGCTCTAACAAAGGATGATGACGTCATAATGTTTATTAATTGGCACCAATGACGTCATATTGCAAGGGGCATAAGCCATGGTGTTTTTGTTATAGAAATAGAACACTTGGTAAATGTGAAAAATATAAATAGCTTTAATGCGAAAATTATGTTGATTAATTGTGATATTTTTATATTTTTGTCTATGACACTTCTAGGTTAACACTTTTAATGTGGAAAAAGTACAAGAAAATTAGGTTCATTTCCGTGTGAACTTGCCCTTTAAGTAGTGCTCCGAATAGTCCAGGTATTTGACCTGAAAAAAGACCAAGCGCAATAGAGCAATGTTTATGAGCGAGTGAGAGAGTTTGGTTTAACGCCACTCTGGACAGTTTTCAGCTTAAGGGATGAAGGTCCTACACATTTACCATTTTGATGAAACTCACAAGCATGGATATGGCTCTGACAATCCCGGAATGATAATCTGGGCAAATCTTGGATTCGAACACAGGCACGCCCATATAATAGGGAATGTTGGGAATCAGAGCAGCGTCCTCGGTGTGACGGGAACACTTAATTATAACACTCGACTATCTTCACTGTCCCTCTCATACTGTATCCCTTACTAACCCAAATAACGACTCACAGGCAGCATAATCAATGAATAACCCGGCGATCGCCATATCATTTATTATATCATAAGTTTGTTGGGTGTAATTGTAATTTGAACAGAAATAGAAACGCTGCATAACTGCCATTCAGGAGAAAGAACTTGAAATGAATTGGTCTTGATAATAAAAAAACATTGTTTCTTTTCAGTTCCATTAAAGAATATCAGCCTTGATGTCATGTTGAGAAACTACGAAAAGAAATTAAACGGTAAGGTAACGTGTACAAGTTTAACCACTCGATAGCAGTTATGATAAAAACACTGAACAAAGAACAATAGCCCGTATTTACATCCAGACCTTAAATTACTGGAGACCGAATAACCAGATATTCTTGAGAAAACCAGATATCAATTTATTTCGATCCTACCTGCTATAGGACGTATCTAATGTTTTTCGAATTATCCCATTAGCTTCGTCAGATACCCTTGTCTTACATTTTATGATATTTAATTAAACACAACGCAAAAGTGCATATTGACACAAATGATTTACATTGTGTAAATATATTTGACACCAAAGTGTGGGTCAAGAGGCGTACGTGGGATTGATGTTCTGTACAATTCCCTACTTCGCTTGTATCGTCTGTTCCTGAGTTCTTAAGTTGGAACATGTCGTGCATCAGTTAATGAGTAAAGTGTGTGTGTGTGTGTGTGTGTGTGTGTGTGTGTGTGTGTGTGTGTGTGTGTGTGTGTGTGTGTGTGTGTGTGTGTGTGTGTGTGTGTGTGTGTGTGTGTGCTCGTCCGGGCTAATGCCGGTTTCATACAGCTATTTATACAACTGATCGATACCATGCCGCACCTTAACATGAATACCCCACTCAGACACGGTATACTGACTCAGAGCCGGTTTAGCCCCTTAATACCGAGCGCCGGGCAGTCTACCATCAAGTACCATCTTTTAACGTCTTTTGGTATGAGGCGGAGGCGGTCCGCCGACATGAAACGAAACACCAGAACGCCCGATAGTGATCTGGTGTTATACTCAACACTCGCATGAAGTTCATCGCCTTGGTCAAATTGTTAAACAACAACAGGTACAGGAAGTCGTAAATGTGTCACGTATTGTAAATTATCGCCTGTGTAAATATTGCCTTCATGTTAGGCTAGCAGCGAGCGCGTCTTCAGTCATTTGGTTGCTGAGATGTTTAGTCAAAGTATAGATTTAGGAATCATCTTGACTTGTGTTGCGTGTTGCGTGTTTTTTGTCCTCACTGTGATCTGGATCTGTCAATATTTGTTCAGGTTTTCAATTGGAAACCGTCTTCAAATTGCTAATATGCCTCACAACAGGTAATTTGAATAAGTTGCAACACGATAACAAGGGCGATTAAGAAAGTGTTCGTGCACTGTTGCAAACTCATGTTTATCTTATTTTCACCACAGATTTACAAACCGCAGGGCTATGGAAGGTGAATGATGTTAAACCGTGTGAAAAGGAAAACCAAGCAGGTAAATACAAAACATCAACGCAAGAGAATACTTAGTCTTGACAATCTGCTGAAACATATTCAAAAGGGCGCAAAGGGAAAGGAGTATGAAAAATAATATGAATAGATCAATGAAAATCCCCGAGGTGCTCGCGAAAGGATAATATTAACATGCTCTGCTTTACCGGTAGCACACACCCGTCACACAATTTTCAGGGAAAGTGCCAGTCAGTTGGGAGGCGTGAAAACACCTTGTTAAGTTCAAAGCAGGGGAAATGGATCACGCATGATGTTGACAAGCGACATATCATATTCAATTAATTCCTCTGAATGTCAAGCATAACATTTCTGGACTGACATAACCAGATTGCGAAATATGAGTCTTTACATGCAATTTGGATAAAATGTACATTCTTTTAAATACAAAATACAAATCAAGAAATGTAGACGACATGAGCTGGAGCATTTGGTATATTGATTTTATAATCCCTCAACAGCATTCAATACCAAAATTTATTGCAGATTAGCTTTATATCTGATAAATTTCATTTCAGGTAGAGCTTGTGTGGAATCCAGTTGCCGCGAACTCAAGCCTGCTACACCCGAAGAAAGCCTGAAAAATGTCTTGTCCACCATGTCAGGACTGAACCCCGAAGATCTCGGACTCTTAATGGGGCTGTTCCCAGAGCCCCCTACCGGCAGGAGAGCAATGTTCGTCACTGCCGCTTCCAGCAACCACTACAATGAATCTCAGGGTCTGATAAGGAACCTCCATCAGAATGTCTTCCCACTGATAAATAACTACACATTTGTATATTATGATCTCGGATTGTTGCCATGGCAACGACAACAGGTGATTTCAGTAACGGTTGTTAACTATGAAACTAACTTCTAAATCTCAAATCCAGAAATTCACGGAAAGAATATGGTTGTATTGCTTCATCCCTCTCTTACAGTTAACTGAGTAGCATGTGAAAGGCTGCATATTTATAGGCACAAGTGTCACTTGCTCAACCTCTCCATGCAACGACAAAGCAATATATATCCTAACACGGCACGAACAATGCAAACGCGATAATATGTTCACTTTGGAATGAGAACAAAGCAACAACAACACTTTATTTATATATTCATATATAAGCAAAACATACCAGCACACAAGTGAAGTCAAGTAAATGCCACCAAGTATCTACAACTAGGAACACATACACATATACACAGACATATATAAACACCAATATATCAGTAGCTACTGCAAAAGCAACCTCAGAGCTTACAATCCCTATTTATGCATGAACCTGACAATGGAATGCATACGCAAACTTTACCGGAACATCACATTTAACAGATACCTGTACAATTGTGTTCACTTCGAAGGCAGTAATAGTGATGAGTTTTACTTTGGAAGACAGAACTGGCAAACAATTTGAGTGTTCGGGAAGCTTTGTCGTTCATGTTACATACACCCACATGTTATTTGATTATCTAATCATCTCCGTAAATATATACTGGAGAATACAGAGTTTTTTTTATCACAGTTCTAATAAGTTGACTCCAAGCAGTTCTCGTGAAGATGCAAAATAATAACGGTCGACCACCCATATACTTGCCTTAATTTGCCTTTGGGCCACACGAGTTATGACTAATCACGGTGTGCACAGTATGGATACATAACTATAATGCAAACAAATATATAACTTTCATTTCGCAATCCAAACAAATCACTGTCTGCAGACAAAAACATTAAGTACATGTACAAATGGAACATGAAAGCTAATCACTGTCCTCCAGAAAATGTAAACATAATCCCTTTTCGTAGCAGTCATACTATCGCACATACCAATGTCAAAACGTATTAAAGTAATTTCCAGTAGATATCCATTTAGAATTCCAACCAAAGTATTGGAGTGGGTGAATCTGGTTTGAGCCATAGTCAGCTTAAAGGTGCGTCAGATTGCAAATAATCAAACCTGGACAGGCAAACCAGTTGACAACATAGCAAATATCAACACCATCGTATCACCATGACATTGGTGTACATTAAAACAGCCCGAAACACTCAATTGAATGTGTAGACAAGCATGAGGTACGGGTGGCCTATTATTTCCAAGAATCGAACCCAACACATCCAAATGTTTGCACCAACGTACCAGATTAAAAATACATTTGATTGGTATGTATTTGATGATAATTAATATGTTGAAACATTTCGATTTTTTTCGTATTTCATAACTTTCTCTCATTCCTTCAGCTCAAGAAACATTGTCGTTGTGAAGTGAGGAGCTTTCCGTTGACGTTTATGCCGTCCAGGTTGCAGAATCTCAAATGCTACACGTGGAAACCAATGATTGTGCAAGTATGTTCCTTGTTGTAATGAAACTACGTACATTCATTCTGTTAATGATGTCAAGTAGTAGCTACAAGATTACAGCTGATATCAAATGAACACAAATACATGACAAGATTAGTTTAAGAGCGGACAAGATAATGGAATTAGAATTAAAAACACAAAATTATCTTTCTGTAATTTTTCAAATGAACATATACCTACCTAGGTTTATCCACATGTTTCTACCACCATGTTGATTTGCAAGCCACATTATGCTGTCAGGAAAACAATGCAGACATTGTGTAAATATTATATATTCCATAATCATAAGACATCTCAGTTAAAACAGTGGTCTATTTTACAATCCCGATTTGATTATAAGCATGTATGCATCACCATAACATAGTCATGATAGGAGGTGTTCGCAAAAAAGATGACCGTATCTAGATCTTACCCTACGGAGGGCACCGTCACAAAAACTTGCAAAGACAAGTTAATTGTTTATATAAACAAACACGTAAACATTTGGTAGAGATCAAAACAGGGAATTGCATTTGTCACATGTTCTCCACATATCTACCATAAACTTAAAAGCTTTATTTCGGGGCCTAGAATGGGGTAACGTTGCTCAAACAACATTTGAGCAAAAGTCGAACGACTCTCTATAAAAGTTTTGCAGAAAGAGCAGAATCCAAACCAAATCAACCAAACTATACCATCCTTAAAGGTTGAAACCTTTCTCCTTACCATTGCAAATTTTGCCAAACGATAAACTGACCAAAACTGCATACCCAACAAGAAATATACCGATTACTGGAAATGGTGATAGTATCTCTGTCTTGCGAAATCTTGATGATGCATTGTAATGCTTCGTGAATTGTGAATGTCTTAGAAAAGGTAAATAGTTGTGTTTTCAGGCTAACCTACCTAAAGCAGACATATTGGTATGGATGGACGCCTCTGTTAGATTTTCAAACAATGACATCAAACCCCTGCTGGATGACGTAGAAAGACGTGGCATGGTCATTTACCCAGGTGGGCATTCGGTTGCACAACATACTCTACAGGTTGCAATGAAGTACATGAAAGAGGACATCTGCAGCCTCGCTCCAGTCCTTGAACACCCAGCAACATTCATGGTGTTTGGGAACGAATTGCTGATAAGAGAGGCTGTTGTCAAACCCTGGGTGGCCTGTGCCATTAGTCCCAATTGTATGTGTCCCCGAGACCCACATCTTGACTTGTTCTGTAATACTAACATCCACAATTACAATAAGTGTCATCGATTTGATCAGTCAGCTATCAACATCATACTTGCCAAACTGTTTCGCGGTCACACATCTACATTTTATTCGACATACGGCATGCACCCAAAAGTAAAGTTCATGCGTGGTCAACGTGATAATTACTTTCATGAACAAGAGCAAAAACGCATTACAGGAAAATATGATAATTCATTGACAAGTGGCCATCTCGTCTCGTTGGACCACGTTATGCAGGATCAGTTGTCATAGTAGCGTAGGTCCATTCTGACATGTTGGATGTTTTTAATGTATATTAATCAGCACATTAAATGTGTTTATGATGGTACAAGACCGTCTTCGTAGTCATTTTATCCTAATGGGTATAACTTAGCTCAATAAACATAAAACGTCAACGCCAGAGAATAAACAATCTCGATTAGCCAACGAAACAGCTTCCATTGGTCGTAACAGACAAAATAGCTGCTAAAATGTTATGAATGCATCACTGAAAATCAGTGATGACACCGGGTGTTAAGGAAAAGGCTAAGCGTGTCCTGTCCTTCCGGTAGCACCCGCCACTCACACAATTTGCACAAAAAGGTACATGTTTGTTGCTTGACACCGCACTGCAGTACTCCGGCATAAGTCTTGACTCGTTCAGTATTTCACTTTTCACGAACGACGGATGATGAAAGTCCCATACAAATTAAAGTTTATGAACGTTTCCATGACACCTCGAAAATGGCATAGATATATATCGAGAGCGTAAACCTCCTATTTGCGTCATATTATATACGGTTCCAGCTGCTGAAGGATTTATGGCAGATGATGCAAGAGATATTCTATCGTGAGAGGTCGGTTGAGCGTGACGGCCAGGATAACACGGATACGTTATTGATGTTCAGAAAATCCTGGAGAATTCGAGCAGTGTGCGCCCTGGAATTGACCTGTTAGAACGACATCCCTGCAACGTCTAATTGTACACAGATGATGAAAAGACGTGACGTGAAAAGGGTGAAACTCTCAGATGCATCCTCGAGCCAATACTCTCAATCGATTCGTCTGCATCCGACCATCAGGATGGAACACAAGCTGAATTTGGTATCCCTCACTGTACATTAACCTTGATAAATCAGGTCGCAGCCAACGTCGCATAGTTCCAGATCACTGATGTCTATTTCGCTGATAATGACGGGTCAAGGTTATTCCGCGAGGGGCTCTGTAGGCCCGAATTCCCACAGGACGTCGTAATCATCGTGACACTGTGTGTCTGCTGATGAGGCATCTCAGTTCATCAACACCATTGACGTCACCGTCAAGACGCAGCTGCGCAGATGAAGGTCCTCTTGTGGGGTAGTGACACCTGGTCTACCTGCGCGTGGCATGTTCCTTGTGTGCACAGTCTGGCAATGGTCAGTTGCCTGCACCTGAGCGTTCTTGCAATATGATCCTGTGCAGCCCCCTCTCAACGCCATTCCAAGACCCCACACTCTCTATTCACCTGATAACCTTGACATTCTTCTCACATGCTATTATGAGTTTTGATACTAGTATTCAACCGCTATCTTTTTATATCCTCGATGTATTTTCTCTTCTCCTGCTATCATCTTTTCTGTAATTGCATTATTAATGATCCTTGCAATAATTGCTGCAGTGGTTTACATTATGTGAGCTATGTCAATCAATCAATCGTTGATCAAGATCATTAGATTATTACTGCAAAGGATTGTAGGAATATGGAATCCTGAATCCGTTCTAAATTTTGGCAGTTGTTAAATATTTTATTGACATCCATCTACGCCAATATCTTGTTGTGTCTTAATTATGAGGCTACAAGATGCAATTACTGATTCATCTCCAGCGTGGTGAGAATATTATGTTGAAAGATTATCAAAGCCGTATATATGTCACGGGTATAAGGGGTGGCCGTTTTGTTAATATGTATATTTGTCAGATAACTGTGCTGTCACTGAGGTCACCGCGAATGGTGAATGGTGAGGAAAATAAATGGTGTTTTGCATTGTGAATCAAATCAAGATATCTGAAAATGGATTAAGTAAAGAACGAATAAAATCGTCTACCATAAAATCTAGGTTAACAGGCCGAGGCATGTTGATGTAAAATCCTTGGTGGTTTAAGAAGCAAGATTAGAAATATTTTCACGGTACAGATACATGTGGGTTGTCAAGACTGAAACGGGTCTGTGTGGTGCCTTTCCCGAAAGTGTTTATAAATGACAGTACTTGAGTAGGATCACGGTAGATTAGATCTGTTCTAGGTGTGTTCAGTTGATTCTGCTTTCATTCGTTTTTATCTCCATAAGCTGACTCACTGTCGGATTTACCTCCAAGAATGTACCATCCTCAGAAAGATAATAAAGCTCCCGGATTGCACAAAACTACTTGGTTTTTTTTATTTGGGTTGTGGGGTGGGTTGGGGGTTCCATTAGACCTGTCTAAGTTTAGAGTACATTTTCTAAACTTTTTTTTAATATATGAAACCAAAAAACACCAGACGCCAGGTGCACTATAGCAGCTTAACTACCTCTTCATGAGATACAAGGAAGATTATTCATATTGTTGATGGGTACCACTGTACATGTAACTGTCAAATAACTTTAACATGAGAGGTTTTATCGACATTGAAATGATAAACCATTATTTTATTAAATACTATTGAAATTTTTTTTATTTTAATATGGGCTATAAACTATTTTTTTATTCTAGAGAGAACTGTATATGTGAATTATGATGGCCAGTATGTGCGTACTTGAAGCAATAACGTGTATATAACTTTTACAATTTACTATGTCGGCCTCTGCACCTGTCCATATTTGATCAGACTTAGTATCGCCAGGCTGCCAATGATGGATGTATGACAAGTTGATCAGTGCAACTTCAACACAGAAATATGCAAGTGGCCTGATGATTAATGGAGTCTTCCCAGTAAGCCCAAGCTGAAATTCGGGAGGATTAAGGGGATTAGGACTGGGGGACTATAGTCTGTTCATGACGTTAGTTAGCTTAAAAGCTTAGTAGCTAAAGTTAGCACTTGACAGTTGAATTTTAAGTGAACATCTAGATCTGTCACCTCGAAAAGTTTTGAATAATACATTTGTCTTACAAACTATGTGTTGTTTCTGCAATGGTCAGGAGATGGAACAGACTATACTATAACCCCCCATTGTTCAGCCAATTTGAGCTAACTGGGAACTAACTTGATTAATGATCCCTAGACTGTTTCGTGGCAAGGACGCTCATCTAGAAACCCTACGAGCTGTAAATATACTGCACAGAGGATGTTTTGAATGTATCTCTGAAGGCGAAAATTACGACAAGCTTATCTTCTATTTGAAGGTGTTGTTATATAATTGTAAATTACCTTTCAAATAAAACGCACTATTTTAATTTCTTTCGATGTCAGTGTTTTGAACATTTATAGGAGTTCTAATAAAAAAACAGATTTCAATTTTGTTTTAACAAGTTTGATTTTCTTGAAAATATTTAGTGATTAACAGTGAGCAATATATCAACTCAGCCCACAGTTTGTCCTTTTTAATAATGCCTTCCACCATCGACGCGGGTGCCTTTGCTGTTTACGGAAGAAATCTTGATATGTTCTGGCGCTGCGTCCTTTCACATTAATATGAAGCACCAAACCGAGATCAACCGACAAAAGCACATCTTACATCCATGAAATGTCCAATGATGCAGCCACCCAATTGAAACTGCTGCTGCTGTTTAATTTAGCACATCAACATGTATACAACATAGCTCACAAAGTTATTATCAGATACATTTCACTTTTGCTTCCGCCCATGTATTGGTCCTTCTGTTTTTAGACATCGATTAATCAGTACAACTGTTAAGATCAACGCATATGGGAAATAGAAACGTGCAATACTACCGTGTTCCAATAAAAACTGTGTGTGATATACTACATCAAGGACATCCGGAAATGTTACTTCATTTGTTCCACCTTTATGCAGTGAGTGAGTTAGTCGGGTTTGACGCAGCTTAAACCTCCAGCTGGACAGAATGACACATATCGGTTTTTTTAACATTTGAAAAGCATTAACAGCAGTTAGGACAGTTGATTTGCCATGGATATTTCAAAACGCACTCTGGATTCTGGATAATCAGAAATGTTTAATTTGATTTTTTTCTTTTTACTATGTAACACTTTTTGTTTTTACAACGTCATTTTGTTCTAATTGGCAGTTATTTCTTTACGTTATTATATTATGACGTCACAAATGAAACATGTAGAACAATTCGTGTCGAGTGATTACTACTGTACACTAGCTAATCTCACGTCTGTATATATACTTAAGCATTCGGTTTCGAATGAAAATTGCAAGTATGAACAGAAGGTTTAACTCATAATGGCTTGGTAAATAGCACTGCACAACTATACAGTTTGTGTTTCGGCACGAAATCAGTATTTATATCACGTTGTTAATGCCTTAGTAATTATAAGTTGACATACCTAACCGACAGCAGGTCATTTTGACACACTTAAACTGAATAAAGCCTCTTGATACCTTTTGATGTTAACGTTTGTAAACAGTTGAAGTTATTTTAATTACCAAATCAGAGTACACGTGGAGGTTATTATGTTATTATGTGACGTAATAAATGTAAGGTACGTTCTATATGGGAAGCATTTTACTGATTCTTGGTAACTTAACACTGCATACGCAACTTCATGTTTCCAGTTAATGAAAAGTTTTTATCTCGGAAATATGTAATACATCGTACACGTCTAGCCGCCCTTCCGGATAATGACGATGGTGTTTTGTTGTTCTCGGGGCGGGGTGTTATTACTATACAGTAACCTGGGTCATATCTTAAATAGTCTGACGGAAAGTGCAATTTTCAGGGTTTTTTACGAACGACTACCAGGCATCGTGTACAACATGAACATTTATCTTGTGACAATTGTGCGAGATACGTCTGATGTGTGATGCGGTATTCACTAGCAATGTGGCAAGCAAGGAAATCATGTCACAAGTTTTGCACATGTCAAGGTAATATGTCATAACATGCGGATATTCTTCGGTAACTACGTGCAATGATCAGATGCATTCCAGTAACAAGTAAATGCAACCACACACACAGGAATTAAATTATTTTAGCAATAGGCTGGGAGTACTGACGAACAAATGTACACCACACACACACCTTGCCATGTTTTAGCAGCACGTCATAGCCCTACGTTGAGCATGGAGGCTTGTGTTCAGTATAGGTGTGATTACATTGTTGTTGCAA